AGGTGGGCTAAGTATAGTGGCCCTGTACTTCCTGAGACACAGAGACTGATGTAGAAGGAGGGTGGGCACATGACCCAAGCCTGAATAATAACAGTCCTTTATCACCTACCTGGATCCAAGAAGCTCCCCTTATCTCTTGTGTTTTTGGTTTTATTTTTAATATTGTTTATGATGCTATAAAGACGGGTTTCTAGAGAAGAATAATCTAAGTCTAGTTAGTTCTTTTTGACTGTAAACAAGGTTTTTTGTTAATTGATAATGGAGGAAAAAGTAAATTTGGATTATTTCTTCCAGATTCCATGGTTTGTAAATGTTTTGAGGAAGAATACCTTTTAAAATTACGTTCAGAGTTCAGTTGTAAGAGTACAGTATTGTAAAGGACAATTTGTTAAAATGGGTTATTAAAATGATAGAATTTAATGGGACTCCATTTAGTTGATATAAAGTTTTTCATATTCTGTTAGTTGAATTCCTGAAAAGATGGTCTAGCACCTTGTTTTAGAAATTGTGGGGGTTAATTTGAAACCTAGAGTACTCAGTAGCTAGCGAAAATACTCAGACAGGAACAGTCTCATTATTTAATATCCTGCTACACAAAGTTTGGTAAAACACTAAAAAGCTGGCCTCCATCAGGTGCTCACAGAAAAATATTAAATGTAGGGCAGGAGAAATGAGGGAGCCCCCTTGGTGGGACAGGCAGGTTGGGCATTTCATGGTTTGAGGTTGCACAGCAGTACCTGGAGAACAGAGATGACCCATGCTTTCACCAGGAACCTTGAACTGAGTTACAGGTACTAGCAGCCCATCATTGTGATAGGAATAAGATCATAAAGAAATAAAAGACCCATGTGACACCAGTGTTCAGGGTCTGCTAAAACTGGGAGTGGAACAGCAATACTGAGACAAACTTTCTGGCACTCCAGGCTTTATATAAAGAACAGTGTAATTATAGAACTCCACTGGAGAAATTTGAGGCTTGTGGTACACTGAAGTTAGCTGTAGAAAAAACAAAACCCATATCCAACTGAATTATAACTACATTAAATAAATGGTCACCACAAACATCTTAACAGAAAGGAGACATACCCATTTCTAAGCATAAACATTATTTCAATCTCAACTGTTTTTTACACAATGGCCAGCATTCAATAAAAAATTATGAGACACAGAAAAAAATGAAGTGAAAAGTATCCATTGTGAAGAAATAAAACAAGCAGCAGAAACAGAGATAGACCAAGTATCGGAACCATCAGACAGGGCTTTTAAAATCACTATAATTATTATGTTAAAGGATCTAGTGGAAAGATGAACACAGTGAACAGATGTGAGTTTTCAGCAGAGATGTGGAAACTATTAGTAGAGTCAGATGGAAATGCTGTAAGTGAAAATGAAGAAGTCCTTTAATGGGTTTAACGGATGACTGAATGAGTACCCAGTGGAGGAAGGAATCAGAGAACTTTAGATAGGTCAATAGAAATTAACCAAACTGAACCATGAAGATATTCAAGGAGTGAAAGAAATAACTGAGCAACGAGTAGCTCAGCACATCTCACAAAACAATATCAAAACAATATACATGTAATTGTAATATTAGAAAATGGAAAGGAAAGGGAACTTTCTAAAATTACTGAAAGCACACTACAGATTCAGAAGTTCAGAGAAACCCAAGTAGGATAAATACAAAGAAAAACACACCATAGGCAAAATAATGAAATCTAAACATAAAAGATCTTGAAGGCTACAAGAAAAACAGACACTACATACAGAAAAACAAGAGTAAGAAGGTGAACAACTTCTTTCTGGAAACTGTGCAAGTTAGGGAAAGTGGAAAAACATTTCTAAAGTACTGAATAAAAAAACAATGTCAACTCAAATTTCTTTACTCAGTAAAAAAGTTTCAAAATGGATGTAAATACAGAGATTTCAAAGCAGAGCTGATAGAAATATTTTTTAATGGATTCAATGTAATCCCAATGAAAATTTAAACTGTTGTTGGGGGGAGTAAGGTGATTATGAAGATTTCATATTTGTAGGATAGACACATAGATAAAAGAAAGTATCCTAGACATGGCATCATGTATTTGTGAATGTGAAAAAAGACAAAAGGCTGTCTTCTGTCCCTCCCTGAGAGGCACTGATCTTCCTTCTGTTCCTTGTCCCTCAACACAGGTTGAGCTGACTCTACCTTTTCTCTTCTTCTACCACTAACTGAGCATATTCACTTCAAGCCACATCATCAATGGTGATCATAAGCACTACTGCAGATACAGCCCTGGAGTCTTGATTGTTTCTCATTTTGCCCTAACTCCATTCCATAGAAACATATTTGGTGCCTCTCAAGTGAGGCCAATTGGAAAGAGCATCTACACCCTTGGTCCTAAGATCCAATCTGTGAAATTAAAACAATAGTTAGATAATTTGGCGTCCTCTGTTACCTGTGACATCTATTTCCAAATGTTGAATATGTATGTGAGTAGACTATCATAAACTTGAAAGTATCCATTATACATTTCCAAAACTTTTCAAGGCTAGTTCATTTTAGGTTAAGAAATTTTCAAATTTGTGACTTTGGCATCCGGTCAATCAAACTATGCTATCAAAAGCAATTGATTTGCATTTTGCCTATTTGTCATTATTATAGCTCCAATGCCTTCAAAACCAGCACTTGTGTTGATAAAACAGAATTAATAGACACAGCATAGTCTAAGACCAGTAAGTGCCTCTGAATTGCCTGATCTAGGGTTCCCACAAGTGCCCTCTGAAGGATTCAAGGTCCCAGGACATCCTGGATACTAGTTGTTAGATGGACTTCCCTCATATTACTTGAGCTGTTCCATCCCCAACCTCAACATCAGAGTTAGGTCACTGATTGGACCACTACTCAGGAAAAATCCTTCCCCAAACTGTGGGAGGAATGATGCAGCCTGAAGGAAAACATCAATTCCTTGTAACAGGAGAGCTGTTATTTTTACAGTGGTACCCACTTTTTGCTGAGAGTACATGCCCAGCATATTTCAGAGAAGTTTGGCAGAATCAGCATCCTTTGCTCCTTTTACCTCACTTTTCCTTCTCCTGCCTTGTTCTCTTCTTTTTCTCCTCCACTCTCCTCCATCATGCTCCTCCTTTTTTGGGGATGTTATCTAGAGTCTGTTGAATCAGAAACATATATTTATAGCCAAGTGCATTCTACGCATTATTTTACTAGTTTGCATGAGTATATAATTTCTAAATAGATATAAATATTTACTATGAATTCTCAATCATTAAACACATATACATTGTTTTGGCCTAAAAATACTACTACTGGAAAGCTTTTAGAAACCATTATAATTTTAAGGATGATTTTCAGTATTTTGGAAAAGTATTTGGAATCAACTACTAAAGTTGAACATAAGTAGCCAATAGCTTGTGCATTTCACTCCTAATTATACATCCAATGAAAGGTGGTAGGTAAGAATATTTGTGGATGACTGATGAAAGCAACACGTGCCTCTGTAAGTTCTAAGAGAAAGAAGGAAGCCATTTTTTTTCCTGAAAATATAAGTAAAAAGTATTATACTAGAAATCAGACACTTTGTAATATACTCTAAGCTACCAGTACCAAGCTTGGACTCTTAGATAAGTGACTTAATTTTGCTTAGTTGCAATTTTTAAAAATCTCTTCTAAGAGAGGTAGTAATGAAATCAATAGTTATTTTGAAGATATTGTTCTTTTCAACCATGACAATTCCTTGGGTATTAAGATGTATTTTTTTCCTTTATTAATTGTACAGCTTGCAAAGGCAGTTATAAAGTATTATTAGGTAAATGCTCAGCCAAATATGTTATGGTCTTTGGTACCTTTGGATGTTCAGTTCAAGTCCAGAAATACAGCTGAACAGCACAAGGCCCTATCTGATTATGGGAAATTCATCATAATAATACTCTGCAAAGAACAGGAAAAAAGACAGATGTTAAAATTTGTGCTTTTCTTCTTTAAATAGTAAATCATATTTTGAGCAACTAAAAAATTTCAAGCTCCTATAATGTAATCCAATTGGGAAACACCTTATATAAATAAGTAAGCAATTTAAGGAAAACAAAATAGAGTTTTGTATAATGTTTCTATAACTTTTAAAACCTATTTCACTAGGGATTTATAAAACAAAGAAACAAAAAGCAAATAGAAAGGTATAAGAAAATGTGTTTTATTTCCAACATTAAAATAATTCTCAAAAAAAGTTCTCAATATTTTTAGGGAAATTCAGAAGTCCCTATAGACTTTTAACTATTGGGAGGAAAAAAACACAAAGTAGTATAGTTATTTTAAAAAATTGTATGGTTATTTACAGTTAAAATATATATACACAGATATATTTACAGAATCCATAGTTTTTAATAAAAATCAGTAGGCTTTCATATATGATTGCAAAGAATTAAAATCATTTAATTTTAGTACTATAAGCAAGCATAAAATTAAATAAGTCCCATGAGATCTTTTGGAACATTATCTTGCATACCTTATACCAGCAGTCCCCAACCTTTTTGGCATCAGGGACAGGTTTCATGGAAGACAATTTTTCCATGGACTGGGGGAGGGGGGATGGTTTCGGGATGATTCAAACGCATTACATTTATTGTGCACTTTATTTCTATTATTATTACATTGTAATACATAATGAAATAATTATACAACTCACCATAAAGCAGAATCAGTGGGAGCCCTGAGCTTGTTTTCTCTTGCCACTCACTGATAGGGTTTTGATATGTCTGCAAGCAATTGATTTATTATGGTCTCTGTGCAGTCAAACCTCTCTGCTAATGATAATCTGTGTTTTCAGCCACTCCCCAGCACTAGCATCACCACCTCAGCTCCCCCTCAGATCATCAGGCATTAGATTCTCACAAGGAGCGTGCAACCTAGATCCCTCGCATGCACAGTTCACAAGAGGGTTCGCGCTCCTATGAGAATCTAATGCCGCCGCTGATCTGACAGGAGGCGGAGCTCAGGTGGTAATACGAGCAATGGGGAGTGGCTGTAAATACAGATGAAACTTTGCTCGCTTGCTAGCTGCTCACCTCCTGCTGTGCGACCTGGTTCCTAACAGGCCATGGACTGGTACTTGTCCATGGCCCAGGCATTGGGAACCCCTGCCTTATACCATTTATTTACAGACTTAAAGGATTATAAAGATGTGATACACAATCACCAAGTCCAATATAAATTGCTTCATAATATATAATGTCCTATTTAAGTTATGCCCTTGGTGAGGATAACAGGAAGGTTAGGCTTCTTTAGCTCTTCAGCCTATGACACAATTTCCATGCTGGTAGTACCTTCCATCTTCTAGAGCACCTCTATTTCATTGTGATGTTATTTGCTTACAGCTTAGAATAGTCTAAGCAGACTGTCTACTGACCATGACCAGGAGTCATATAATTGCCCATAGACTGAGCAGCCTCCACCCAGTTGAGAACCACACACGTCTCCACTACGAAGCTTGGTTAGTTTTTTTGCGTGTGTTTTATCATCAGTGCCTCTCCCTGATGGCATCCAGCACAAAACCACTTGGCAGGAGTGATGCCCACCTGAGTCCAAGTCACTGGGCAAATTCCATGTGACTTAGTTTATTGTAGAAACACCCTCCCAGGTCTCTTCCAATCCCCACTGAGACAAATATGGAAAATTAGAGGGGTGGTATTGGTGTACAAGAGAAAGTTTCCCTTTATAGATCCTGCCCAATATCACTGCCAATAGCGGCAATGATAATATGTCCCTTATAATACAAGTCATAATCTCTTTAAGGAAGCAAACAACATTTAAACTATTGAAATTAGTGAAATGCACGTTTTACCAATTATGAGCATCATAACCTTATAACTCAATACAAAAGTTCAATATAATTATTATGAAGTTTATTTAAATGGTGATTGTCTCAAGTTCTATAGTTTCTTGTTCCTTTGTGTCTTCAGTGAAAGTGAACAAGAAAATGAAGTTCTAGTGTTTAGTTCTTTAGAGTAAGATACATGTATCATCTGGTGAGTCATTCCTCTGGAGATGCTGGATCTCATCCTGAAGTTTTCTGCTCTCAGCTTGGAATCTCTCCTTGAGCTTTTCAGCCTCCTCCTAAAGAGTGATACATAAAACCAAAGAGCTTAGCAAAACATAATGTCCAGATCTCTGCAGGAGGAGGGGGGAGGGAAGGAACCCAAATCATTGACTTTCCCTTAGTTATTTTAATCAATCAGTAACAAAAGACAGACCCTGATTCCTCCTTTCTGTTCATGTCCATTTTACGTCTCACACTTGGTTTTCTACTTGTGTAATTCTTCTTCCATGCTTCTTCATCTAGCTACAGAAACATCCTCATCTCTCAATCCCTGAACTATTGGTGTTCCAAGAATTACATCCTAAGGCCCCTTCCCCGTTTGTCCTTAGGGAATCTGAGTCACATCTTGACTTCAATTCTCATGTATACACAGAGGAATGTCAGATCTAGTATTACAAGGAGAGATTGATACAACAACTAGGTGTCTAGGTGATATCCACAATCAGGTGAGGAGTCTGAGCCTTAGATAAGGGAATTTGTTTCATGTCTCCACAGTTATGGGGTAAAAGTAGAAGGACAGTGTGGGGAGATCAGAAACACCAGGTTGAAAATACTGTCCTTCAGTGCAGGTCTGTAATTTCAAAATTGTCTTGGAGCAGTGTCTGGAAAACAAGGACCTACAGGTAGATCAGCCACCCTGGAGGAGGAGGAGGGTGTCCTTAGTCTCATAAGCGTGTTCACATAAGAATTTCAGACTAGGTTTGTAGAAACGAAAGCATTGTAGATCTCACTCACTGGGAAGGCTGTTTTGATAACTTGCTAGGATGTATGATATTGGCATTTAGTTATCTCTTTGGAACCTAATTTTTCTAATCAGAAAAATAAGGACATAATGGTTGTGATTCACAGTGAATAGATTAGATTAGAGAATGTGTGTACAGTGCTTGGTAAATAAGAACTACTGTTAATTGAGCGATAATAATAGTAGAGGACTGGATGAAACAAGTTAAAGGCTTTCAGAACCAGTGACAATTAAGGAAGGGAAAGGGGCATAAACACAGTAATATGAAATTAATTTAGCAAGGTAATCTATGACCAGTGGAAACGACTAGCTAGAGCAATTAACAAGATAACAAAAAAGACTAATTACCGTGGGTTAGAAATATCCTTGGATTTTGCTTAACAAATTAATAGTGCTTATGCTGTGCCAAGCATCATTCTAAACACAAATATTGACTCATTTAAGTATCAAAATAGCCCTATAAAATAGGTATTATAACCATCTCCAAACAACATATTTATATATTTATAATATATGTAATATATTTATAATATAAGAAGTGGAGCTGGCTTTTTTACCCAGGCTGTCTGATTCCAGAGTCCTTGCCCTGAGCCACAATATTATGCTGCCTCTCCCACATTGTCACTGCTTCGTGCTTTCATCAGTACAGAGAGGGGTATGTGATTAAAATCCAGAAACGAAATAATTGATGAGTACCTTGAGCCGACGTTCTTGGTCCCTCTGTTGCAGGGCCTGCTGGTACAATCTTTTTATCTCCATTTGTCTCACTTGTTCCCGATGGAGTCTCTCCCTCCGCTCCATCCTTTGCTGGTGCTGCATTAGAATTGCCCCCAACCTCTTTTCTTCAGCCTTCATAAACTCTGCTTTCACACGTGCCTCTGAAAAGGAAGAAAATGGCAAACTTCTCTAGGATTAAAGTACCCTTCCTTCTGCCTCCCACTCACTTGTTATTGCTGCTACTTCATAGAGAAAATTCCCTGGGGTCATATTTCCCCTCCAGGTAATCATATTGTAGCTGACGGTATATGCCCTATTCAAATATAGGCTGAGGAGCTAAGAATGGCACATCCTTGCCATTCTTGCTCTCGTTTAATGATCCCAGGTGAACCAGGCCAAATTAATTTAAAATGTATAGAATTTCTGTCTTGCATTTTTTTTTCTCCATTTTCTTCTCACCTTCCATCTCCTTTTCCCTTGCTGTGAGAACCAGATCTGTCTGCCAAATGGTAACACTCACAGACTCCTTGGACTGTAAATATTTCTGCAGAGCTTCCTCAGCCTAGGAACCCCAAAAAATGCAGTTAGAGCTAGGAAATGATTAGAAATGTTATAAACCTCTTTATTTCTTTTTCTTCCCAGCATCTTTTCCTCCCTGGAAGTGCTCAGTCTGTACTTGGTGAAACTATGTCAAGCCTTTTCTGTCAAGGGGTGGGCACAAGCTCCAGGCTGGCCTATTAGAGTACCCAAGGCCACTTGATGCAAAATATTTGGGTACAGGCGGGAAAATACTGCAGCTTGGGTGTTTTAAAGACTGATATGGATGGTGGGAAAGATGCTTTCTCTCCTGTGAGACTGAGGGCACAAAGGACTAGTTAAGCTGCAAGCTGTTGGTGTCATGTTTGCTGCCGAGTGGGGTGAGCCTGCCTGAGAATGATGCCAATGGTGAGGAAAACAGAACAGAAAGCTGGAGTTGAGATTGGAAAGAAAAAGGAAAGGGGAAAATTGATTACATTGTTACATGTAATCAACTGATTATGTTAAACTCTTGAACATATCTACACTTACAACTAAATTTAAACATTTTGCCTTTAGTTTATGTGAGCCAGTGAATTATTTTCTTAAGTTAGTTCAATTATTGGGATTCTGTACTGTGTAACCAAAAAAGTCCCTTTTTTGCAATGAGTGTTGAAGGTTGTGATAAAAGTCTGGTGACTATGGTGATAGTTCAGTTTAATACCAGAGCTCTCATTCTTCCTGTCCAAAAAAAGATCCCTAGCAATTCCCCATAATTAATACATAAAACTAGGGATACCTGTATTCCTTTCCTGGGCGCCTGATAGTACTTTGCCTTCAGCTCTTCTCTCTTCTGAAGGAAGAGACGATGCCCCCCAGGTTTTGAATAAATCCCTTGCTTCACATCTTCTTCTAGAGGACAAAAAATATCCTGAAGTAAAGCTGAACAGCGATTCAGTGATGCCTCTAAATTCCGTTTACAAAAGTCATTCTGTTTGGCTTCTAGCAGGGTCTTAAAGGGAAAAAGCCCCATGGAAAAGGTGTTAGCAACACTACAGTACTTTTAGAAATGGCTTACAAAAAGAATCTCTGTATTTTTTCTGTAAATTCAAGGACTACAAGCAATACTATATCCTCCCTACCAAACCTAGAAAAGTTCCAAGGATGATACACTGTAGAAAAATGACTTTACTTTTGTTTTTGAAATCTCCTGGAACCCCATTCTTTGGCTTTTTCTGCTTTAGATAGGATCTTCAAACTGCAGATCTCTAGCCTCATGCCCTAATTTTAAATGCAACCTACTGTTTTACAACCATCCCAGTATTATACTGGGCTGGGATTCCCAATGAGGTAGAATGGATGAGTGTGTGCTATTAAACCTAGAGACATAATATTTTAGTAGATCCATTTGGCAATTCTGTATGCTTGATTAATAAAAAAGGAAAGTTAATTAGTACTTTATGAATACATTTTTTAAGGGATAAGATTACTTTAAAAAAAATTAGTCCATGAGTGTTACATAGTAAGTTGAGTTGTCTGCATGTAAAAGTTTCAGAATCTATAGGGTCCAGAGTAGTTACATGTTTATTTGTTTGGTTTGTTTGTTTTCAGAATAATAGTGATATCTTGGTCACATAGTGATAGTCATTGTCTCTCAGTCTAGTAAGAATTGTTTCTCTTAATTAAGTCCTCATTTTGCCTCATTTTTGCCTCATAGCAATACCTTGCCTATATTGCCCCTAAGCCCCATGAACTACAGCAATAAAACTTAATTACCTCTAATTTTTCCTGGAACCCTTGGTCTATATCCTCGAAAGAGTTCTTCATGAAGACTTCCATAGCCCCTTTCTCACTGACCCTGTGCAGGTCCAGCAGCTCCTGGAGGGTTTCCGTGGGCAGCTGCAGCTTCTGGCCCATCTGCTGGTCATAGTGGGCAATGGCCTTTTGCACTGCGGCTGAGTTCTTAATCTGGGCCAAGGCCAGAACTTCGTTCTCCATGCAGGGCAGATCCCCACTGTTGATGGCATTGACATAGGTCCATACCAGGCTCTCTAGATCTTCACAGGAGGAAGAGATGCTTGAATTATTTGCAGAGAAAAGGGACATGCTCTGAACTGAGTAATTCTGAGAATGTTAATTTAGCGTATTCAGCCTCCTGCACAGTGTTCATGTGGCCCAGATAAGTTCCTTTGGGAAATTATGTGACCAAGAAGACAGATCTTTAATTCTTTGAGAAAAGAAAGTGTTCAAAGAGGAAAGTTCAAGATCTACGTGATGATCCACATTTCATCATTTTCTCATTGAGAAATGAGGAAATGGTTATATAAAATTGTGTGTATTCATTTGATTAGAATACTATAGACCTTTTGCCTCTTTATACTTCCCATTCTTTCTCTCTTCCTCAGGTTTCTGTTTCCTTCAGAATTCCATTTTCTCCTCCACTTCAACCTGTAAAGCTGGTATGAGTGTTACCCTCATTGTAAAAATCACAAAGGAGGCCAATTAGACCAGCTCACCTTACCCTTTGTTGGAACATTCCTGTTTGTCTTCCTTGTCCTTAGCTATTTTTGTTTGCACTCAACTTCCCTTTAGCGCGTAGCAATAACTGACAAAGTTCCAAGACATAGAGTATTTAAGGAACAACTGGACCAAGAAGTCTGCTTAGATTTCTTTAAGGGTTCTAGACAACTTGGGCATCTGCTTGTTTAATGCTTGTATCAAGCACATTCTATTTATACAGAGAATGTATGTGTTTTCCTCATCTTCTGCCTATCAAAGGCATAATGAGTATCCATAATATCAGTAGAACAAATGCTGCCAACCCATGTGGGTTAGTCTAGTTCAACAGTGGACCACTTATAGGTAGAACTTTTTTAACCGGACCTTTTCATCAGGTTATATTCCTAATTTATCTTACTTTGCAAGCATTGCTAAAAAATCCTAGAAATATTTTTGGTACTCACCTGAATTTAATAAATATGATACATATGGTTTTCTTGGTAGTAGCTGATTATGTAATTTCAATAGTGGAAGGAGAAAACTACAGCAGTGCTCCCATTCTCTATTTTGGATTGAAGGAAAATCCTTGAAGAAGTACTCACGAGATCCATTGACCTTGATGCCTCCTGAAAGAGTTTTAGTCTTGGAATGGCTGAAGATGTAGGAACAGAAATCTGCCACTTGTACAAATTCAGGATCCAGGTCATCATTATGCAGTGTCTCAAGCTGGGCAAGCTTTTTCCGATGAGTGGGCAAGTCAAAAATAAAGCATTTCTTTATTGGAAAGAATTTCTGTATACACAGACGGGGCAAATTAAAATTTTGAAGATGTTGATCGGTGCCTGAGGAAGGAAAAATAGAATTATTTAGTATAGGGTTAACTTTCATTTTAATCTCTTTCCCACAAATAAATGTGCTTTCTACCTACTGTTATTTATTTCACTACATTTTCACAAACCCTAAGCAAAAACTTAAAACGTGATCAATCAGAGAAAGGAAAATGGAAAAGTAATTTGCTCCAAGAACAAGGGAGTAATACAATTTAATATTGAATGTATTAGTTCACTTTAAATCAATAGTATTAATTATTTATGTGATGATTTAGTCAGCTGAGTAAATATAGGAAACTATAACTTTAACCAGCAACACACAAGAGATAATTTCTTGTGCTACTTTTCTCCCTCTTTCCAAAACTGAAGTCCCTGTTTCCTTGCTTTGGCCTCAATGAATTCTCCAGGTACTCATCTGCTGTGATGAGTCACCCATTTGCTTCCAGGTCAAGGTAGAAATCTCTCACAGTCCACACTAAGTCTGGACAGATGTTCATAAAGTCAGGTGCATTGTCTGCCCCATCAAGACCAGGTGAGGTAACTGTTCTGAGCAGATTTGACAGTTCTGTCACATAGCTGAGATGCAATTAAGGAAAACTGTTGGAAATAGAACTGTGTCTAAACCATATTTAATTCCATGCCTTCCTATACTTTTATATTCCCTTTGGGTTATAACCAATCCTCATTTCATCAGTAAATAAAAGGACTCTTTTTCTTGCCCCTTTTTTTCCCCAACATCTTTATTGGAGTATAATTGCTCTACAATGGTGCATTAGTTTCTGCTGTATAACAAAGTGAGTCAGCCATACATATACATATGTCCCCATATCCCCTCCCTCTTGCATCTCCCTCCCACCTTCCCTATCCCACCGCTCTAGGTGGTCACAAAGCACCAAGCTGATCTCCCTGTGCTATGCAGCTGCTTCCCACCAGCCATCCATTCTACACTTGGTAGTGTATATATGTCCATGCCACTCTCTCACCTCATCCCAGCCCACCCTTCCCCCTCCCCATGTCCTCAAGTCTACTCTCCACGTCTGTGTCTTTATTTCTGTCCTGCCCCTAGGTTCTTCACAACCTTTTTTTTTTTTTAGGTTCCATATATATGTGTTAGCCTACGGTATTTGTTTTCCTCTTTCTGACTTACTTCACTCTGTATGACACACTCTAGGTCAACCCACCTCACTACAAATAACTCAATTTCATTTCTTTTTATGGCTGAGTGATATTCCATTGTATATATGTGCCACATCTTCTGTATCCATTCATCTGTCGATGGACACTTAGGTTGCTTCCATGTCCTGGCTATTGTAAATAGAGCTGCAGTGAACATTGTGGTACATGATTCCTTTTGAATTATGGTTTTCTCAGGGTATATGCCCAGTAGTGGGATTGCTGGGTCATATGGTAGTTCTATTTGTAGTTTTTTAAGGAACCTCCATACTGTTCTCCATAGTGGCTGTATCAAGTTACATTCCCACCAACAGAACAAGAGGGTTCCCTTTTCTCCACACCCTCTCCAGCATTTATTGTTTGTAGATTTTTTGATGATGGCCATTCTGACTGGTGTGAGGTGATACTTCATTGTAGTTTTGATTTGCATTTCTCTAATGATTAGTGATGTTGAGCATTCTTTCATGTGTTTGTTGGCAGTCTGTATATCTTCTTTGGAAAAATGTCTATTTAGGTCTTCTGCCCATTTTTGGATTGGGTTGTTTGTTTTTTTGATATTGAGCTGCATGAGCTGCTTGTATATTTTGGAGATTAATCCTTTGTCAGTTGCTTCATCTGTAAATATTTTCTCCCATTCTGAGGGTTGTCTTGTCCTTTTAATGTTTACAATGTTTTCATTTTTGTGTTTGATACACAAGGACTCATGAACATAGCTGGTGAATAAAGCAGTTCTCTCTGGCTTTGGTGCCATCCTGGACAACAAAAGGATACTGCAAGAGGTCGATAGCCCTCTGGTCAATTGTGTTCATAGTATTATATACAAAGGTACTACTCAGTAGTAGTGCCAGTACAAATATCTGGGTGTCACTCTTCTTGTCACCCTAGAAGTCAGAACAAATTTCAGTCATGTCTCATGGCATTCGCATATGAGCAGTTATTAAAAATAGACCCTTGGGCTTCCCTGGTGGCGCGGTGGTTGGGAGTCCGCCTGCCGATGCAGGGCACATGGGTTCGTGCCCCGGTCCGGGAAGATCCCACACGCCGCGGAACGGATGGGCCCGTGAGCCATGGCCGCTGAGCCTGCACGTCCGGAGCCTGTGCTCCGCAATGGGAGAGGCCACAACACTGAGGGCCCGGTTCCCCAAAAAAAAAAAAAAAAAGACCCTTGACTTACAAATGTTAGCCAAGACGAACAGAAATGGTTGTGAGAAACATATGAGCTTTGAATAGTTCTGTCATTAGCATTGATAATTTTATACAAAGCCACATTTTGTTAACTTATCAGTCCCTCTTATAACTGGTTAGGTATTTGGAAAATGGATAGTCAAAGTTCATGAAGGTAACCAGAGTGCTTAAAATCAAGATTTTCAATTGTGTAAAACAAAGTTGGTCTGTATACATAATACATGCATCTATTTTATTGAGTAGCTTTTAAATACAGGACGGTTCGATACGTTTTTCTTTTTCTTTTTTTTTTTTTAGAGAGAGGGATGGGACAAGTGACAGCATACAGCTAAGCTTCAGCACCAGAATTGCTCAAAGAGTAGGGATGTATTAGGGATACATATTCAGGAGCCTACTGGGGGTGAAGGATGTGAATAAACTGCACAGGTAATAAGGCAGTTCTCTGAACTGACTTGGTATTTCTCTGCTGCACGAATGGATCAGGAGCCCTGCAAAGGAGAACCTTCAGTGTATTCAATGCAAACCTCTAAATGGTTCTCTCCCTCTTTTAGAACATGTAATCTAAACTGGATACCCCCAAACTTGGGCTCCAGGGCACCTTCTTCGTGCTGGGATCTGTACATAGAAGATGCAACAACAACAAAAAAAGAAGATGCTAAGATACAAAGATATACAGTCCCTGTACGTGGAGGCCATTTCTTACAGTTCTCCAGGTGATTATCTAATCTGGTAGGGATGAGAAAGGTAAAGTCCTTATCAGCCTGAGCCCCAGAGCCTCTTCTCCACAGACTACTGTCATATTTTTTCCCCTTGTTGAGGTTTCAGATAATGTTTAAAATGTAAAATGGATCAGAGATAATTCTGCACAGGTCAGCAGGACTGGAGCAGAAACATGTTTTGATTCCTGGTACCGTCGAGATAAGTTTTTAACTACTGTCTCCATGTTACAGGTGAGGAAACTAAAGAAAAAAGGAGTTAACTATTTTAAATTGTGGTAAATTAAAGGCAAAATGAAGACATAAAAAATGAGAGCTCAAGGGAAAGATCCAGTTTTGTGCTCGAGCCAGCTCACGAGAGCTGGCTGTGTACATCTTTCCTGAGCCCTGAGTTTAGTGACGACTTTGGTAGCTTGGAGTGAGCTGTTATGGGAGTACTTGGAAATCCGGCAAGTACTACAAAGCAAGGCTTTTCTTCCCCAGTGGGCTGCTTGTTAGACACTTACCAGCACAGAAGTGGAAAAATCCCACGTTACTCCTGTGCAAATGATAAAATGGATGAGATCAAAGGGGAAACTGAAGATTTGAGGAGACTTATTCTTGCTTGTCAGAGTCCGAGAGCTCCTAGTGCCAGGACCCTGATTTGGACTCAAGTCCCGCTGCCCTGAAGCTTACTGCATATCTCTATCCTCTACAGGGTCAGACTCGTGACAGTGATTTTGTTTGTACCACCTTTCTGCAGTTTGGTTAAGTGCCTATCTCCATGTTAGCACAGCCTCCCAATTATGATTCTGGCTTATACATATATTTTTCTCACTTCGGGTTTCCAAACTTTGACTATTAAAAATAGAGAGGGGGATAAAAGGTATACTCTGGTCAAGCAGAAGTACAAAAAGAAATCTCCCTGTGTAAAGAATGTTCAGGGATGAGGAGGTTGATTGAAAAGGAATCCTGGGCTTCCCTGGTGGCACAGTAGTTGAGAGTCCACCTGCGGATGCAGGGGACACGGGTTCGTGCCCGGTCTGGGAGGATCCCACATGCTGCAGAACGGCTGGGCCCGTGAGCCATGGCCGCTGGGCCTGCGTGTCCGGAGCCTGCGCTCTGCGACGGGAGAGGCCACAACAGTGAGAGGCCCGCGTACCGCAAAAAAAAAAAAAAGGAATCCTTGTTCCTTGCCTTCTCTATGTCTCCAAGTCCCTCCGTGTCAAGAAGAACCAGGATGTGGTTTGGCTTCTCAGGGTGAGGCACACACCACATCCAGATGCCCTTGGTGTGAGACTGCACCGTGGATCCAACAGAGAAACCTGCAAGGGGGAGTGGAGAGGGTGTAATTGAGGAGGGGAGCTGGAAATTGGAGACTTTCTTGACAACTGAGTTACCATTTAAGGAAAGCAAGATGAAGATATGGCAGAAAGTATAACCCAGTATTGATCTGAATTACAATAGAGGGATGAGATAATAAGAATACCAAGTACTGTAGGCTGGAAATTTGATGGATTTTTTTGCAAGAATATTACGCTATTAAAATTTTAATCATTTGTAATTACATATGTAGAAGTATTTTAATGATGTCTTACCCTTATAATTGGAAAATAGTATGATTTTTCTAAGAAAAAAAGAGGTGATATGTCAGAAACAGAACTCAACCCTTTATCTCCCAGAAGATAATTAACTATCTGTGGCCCAAACATTAGCTTTCAATATTCCTCCTCATCTCTAACTTCCTGTCCTCACATCACCTTCCTGCACGCTGGGAGTGTGGGTGGACAGAAGGGACCCGGCTGGGCTTTCCTGGTGCCACTCACCCTTGTTCTTCCCAGACAGCTTGTTCATCAGGTAGGATTTACCGGTGCGGTAGAGGCCCACGATAGCCACCACCACAACGGGCTGCTGAATGGCAGACAGGATCTTCAGAGCTTTCGGATTAACCAACAGTCGCCCATTAGTGTTCTCGATGAGGCACAAGGCTTCTGGCATGTGAACCACTGGGGCCACGTTCAGGGGGGTCACCTGACCTGCAAGGGAAGTGATGGGATAGACTGGAATTTCTAGACTTTAAACAGAGAAAAATCATTTTGCTTCCTCAACCTGCAGGCGTGCTACTCTGCAGCATGGCCTAAGTTTCCGAAGAAGTTTAAAAAAGACAAAAGAGCAAAGAGGGTCATAGCAACATAGGTCTTAGTCCCTTCAGAGTTCTGCTATAGGCTACCCCACTGGTTCTTAAATATTGGGTGGCCTTATGGAAAACCATTTTCTGAGACTAGTTTACTGCTATTTTGAGTCTGACGCTTCCCCACTGGTTTTGGCTTGCTTCTATTTCTTAGCTTTTACCTCTTTGAATCCCCGGATTGAATCTTTATGGCCACTATTTGTTACATGACACTTCTTGCTTTTACACTGTATCAACTTGCTTTTCTCTGATTTAGGTCCAGTCAAAGTATATTATACTAAATCCTGCCAGGTCATTATGTAGCATTATCTAACAAATAACAGTTGTTTACTTCTTAAAGCTCTACTTTTAAAGAATTTTTTATGTAGCTATTAATGTGTGTTCTTCAGTCAAAACTTAAATGAGTAATCATTTTATGAATGAGAAAGTGAGTGAAAATCCTTTCTTAAATAATACTTAACCATTTATTTTCTAATTTCTGGGCATCAATTTCTGTAACCTAAAGAGTCCCCAATAAAACATGTTTAAGCTATCTGAGATTAAAACAAATTCTTGCTTTTCTGCCTTGCCACATCATAAAGAACAATTTTCTTCCATTTTAGAAGTGATTATTTTCAACAGAAGCTAAAAATCCACCATCTGCTTGCCTCTTTTAAAAAACTGAAATCTTACAGTGCAAAGGTCTGGATTCCCTTGCTAGCTTTTAAAAAGTTATAAAGACCCATTCTCCCCCTTTCTTCATAGCCAATGCCCCAGAGATTATCCAGATGATAGATAAATAAAAACAGAAACTGCTTGGCAACAGATAATATATCCATTGCAAATGTCATCGCGTCAGGGCATGGGAGCCAGGAAATGTTCAGTCCAAGCCACATCCAAAAAGAGGGGATCACACATAATTTTACATTCCCAAATTCAAAGTTTCTTTTTACTCTAATCCACTTCCAATGCAGTATTGGCACCTTATGCTTGTTGAGTTCTGTTATCTGATTTGTATATAACAGGGGTCATAATCATTTCCAGGTTCGAAAGATATGGGGACCTGGCAGTGATGATCTATAACAGTTAGCTAGAAAGATAGAAGATACACAATCTAAATCTATTTGCAGATTTTGGGAACCTCCAAGCTCTTGTGCTTTGGAATGAGGTCACTAATGGGAAAGGAAGCTAGTCTGTCTGAGTTTTCAGACCTCCTAATGAATAACATTTAGTGCTGTGTATCTATATTAATGAAAGTATTTTATATACTGTCCCCAGATGTTACCCGGCTAACATCTTTAATGCTTTTAGGACAGCCCAATCTCCAAAACATCTCTGCAGATTCAATGTGTTTGAGCCCCATACATAACTATTACTCTGTCATAACTCAGCCTGTGATGTGTGCTCTGACTTGCATTCTTCTCCCTAACTCTGTTAGAGCCCCATACTCTTTTGTAAATAAACACAATGCAAGAATGCATCAAAACACACAGAAATACAAATATACATTTTGACTTTGAAATAGGGCAGATCTGATTTCTAATCTCAGACTTCCACCTGGCTCTCTGTTGGACACTGGCATTTCACTTAACACTCTAAGCCTATCTTCAGAAAAAGAAAGTAAATAAATATTTATATACATCAGTATAACTGCTAGCTTAAAAAAGAGAGAGAGAGCTGTAGGAAAGGAAAAAAATGGTAAAGAAGGAAAATGCTACGACATATAAGAGAAAAGGCTCGGAAGGACTACTGATGGAGTTTCTAGAAGAAGACATCTCTATTTTCAGTCATACAATTCTAGATGGGTTTTGTGTTACTTTTATGTTGGTTGCCTTTACTTTGTGTTGTTTTTGGTTTGAGTTGGTAGGAGAAGGAAAAAGCTCTTCTTAATGAGAAAAATGGAAATCAAGCAAGAAGGAGATGCGCGAAGTATGTGCCGTGACAAGAAATTCAAAGGAGGAGAAAGTTTCAAGGAGTAAACAAAATTTCCAGACAGTGTTAAGTGATTCGTTGGGACTTCCGTGGAGGCCCAGTGGTTAAGGCTCCATGCTTCCACTACAGAGGGCAGGGGTTCAGTCCCTGGACTAAAGGTCCCAAGTGCCGTGCGGTGCAGCCAAAACAAAACAAAACAACAATGAAAAATACATAAAAAACAAAAAGTGATTCATAATAGTAAAATTATTAGAGGAGTAGAAACAAAGTCCGACACAAAAGGCCTTAAGGAATGAGTGGGTGTCAATAAATCAAGACTAATTCATTCAGGGTTCTTTCTAAAGGAAGAAATTCATCTTCAAAAAAGTGCAGGACTATGACTAAAATATACAGCCATTTTCATAAAACTTCTTCATTGTTCATTCTGGGTTTCAACTTTTTTCTTTCTCTTTTTGTCCTTAACAAGGTAAGCAAACCATTTACATTACATTTCGTTCAATGCTCTTTCTCATGAAAATAGTACAGTCATAGTTCTTCAAAAGTTAAGGTTTCAGTTTGAAGGATCTTTATCAGGTTTTATTAAAGGTAACTTAAGTGGCAATTATGATCCCTATAGATCATAGGGTGGCAAAGGAAGAAAAACAGTATGAAGACATTTCAAACTCTCAGTCCCCACACGTGCTCTTGTCTAATTCAGCGGAAGTGGCACTCAATGAATTCTGCTGCCTGTCTGACAACACCACAATTTACCTTTAATAAGAGCTGATAGTCCACGTGGAGCTCAGCTGCAATGTATCATGAACAGGCTTTTTAAGACATCCTGACCCTTTCCACCCTTGCCCCAGACTTACCCTAACGGTGAAATCAGCAGCAGAGATCTTTTAGAGCTGGTAACAAAGGTGCTTCAATGAGAAATTGGCAAGAGTTCTAAATCTGTCCCTCAGGTTAGCTGTGTTGGTTTCTGATATACTTTTTTCTTATCCAGTCCTGGAGATTTCTTTTCTTTCCGCTCCACTCTACCAGAAGGCGGAGGATTACAGTATGAAACAAAAACTGAAAGTGGAAGGGGTTTTTGAAATGTTGCTGCAGGAAACTGAAACCCCATCCAAACTGAAACCACAAGCCAATCTGAAACCACAAGCCAAATTGTACATGGAAGAGAACTTTGAAATCATTTGCATTTTTTCTACTCCAGACTGTCCTCAGTGCTGTGAGAAACCATAATAAGTCTACAGTAACAGTGAATATAACCCCAAGGTATGTTTACATTATGTGAGCATACCATTTTTGTTTGTTTTTTGTTTTTGTTTTTGCTTGGCTGCACCGCGCCGCATGTGGGATCTTAGTTTCCCGATGGGGATCCAACCTTTGCCCCCCACAGTGGAAGCGCAGAGTCTTAACCACTGGACCGCCAGGAAAGTCTCCATTTGTTTGATTTTAAGGAACCAGCCTTCCTATGCAATTCAGGTCATCTCCTGCTAAACACTTAGGAATTTTGATAGAATTTTTTTCTGAGAAAACTTGAGTTTGACACACAGAATAAACTGCTGTATAATTTCAATGAAGAAAAATTCACTTTCTCAATAGACAAACTAGATGCTAAACAATTTTAAAGAACTTAAAAAAAATCAGTCATTAAATGGTCAACAGATTTTTGTAACTGCATCTTTCATCAGTCAGGCAAACATTCAAAGCAAACACTTTGAATGCCTACTACACACTGCAGTGTTCAAAGAGAAGCAAGAAACCAACAATCAAGAAGCATCATAATCCCTATGAGGAGATTTTGCTCTAGATGAATGCAACCTACAGCCTCCTTTGCCTCCCTCAAACCCAGTCCTCCCAAACATGCAAATATTTGTTTGGTTGTCTTCCTTATTTTCAACTACTGTCTGGTAGTGTTGGCACATTGTTTTTCAGAGCTTTGTAACTTAAATCTTTCAACACCCAAGATATTAATAATAGAAAGTTCTCTATGTCTTTTTATTATTATTACTGACATATAACTGACGTATAACATTGTATTACTTTTAGGTATACAACACAATGATTTGACATATGTATATATTGCAAAATGATTACTACAAAAAGTTTAGTTAACATCTGTGACCACACAGTTACATTTTTTTTCTTATGATGAGAACTTTTACGATATACTCTTTTAGCAACTTTCAAATATACAGTAAAGTATTCTTAGCTATAGTCACCATGCTGTGCATTATATCCCAGGATTTATTTATAACTGGAAGTTTGTACTTTTTGACCACCTAACACATTCCACCTTCCCTCCCCTCACCTCTGGCAACCACCCATCTGTTCTATGAGTTCAGTTTATTGTTATTTTTTAAGATTCCACATATAAGTAAGATCATACAGTATTTGTCTTTCTGTCTGACTTATTTCACTTAGCATAATACCTTCCAAGTCCATCATGTTGTCACAAATGGCAATATTTCCTTCCTTTTTATGGTTGAGTAATATTCTATCATATATACATACCACATTTTCTTTATCTACTCTTCCATTGATGGATAGTTAGGTTGTTTATACATCTTGGCCATTGTGAATAATCTTGCAATGAACATGGAAGTGAATATATCTCTTCAAGGTAGTGTTTTCATATCCTTCAGAGATATACCCAAAACTGGAATTGCTGGGTCATGTGGTAGTTCTATTATTAATTTTTGAGGAACCTCCATACTGTTTTCCATGGTGGCTGTGCAAAATCTATATTCCCACCAACAGTGCATAAGTGTTTGCTTTCTCCACATCCTTATCAACACTTGTTACTTATTGTCTTTTGGATAATAGCCATTCTGACAGGTGTGAGTTGATATCTCATTGTGGTTTTGATTTTCCTTTCCTTAATAATTAGTGATGTTGAACATTTTTTTCAGTTACTTGTTGACCCTTTTTATGTCCTTTTTGGAAA